CAATTCTATAGTTAGTTTGCTAAATATGCACTTAAACTAATCCACCAGACTAGGTCATCATCGTCCAAAATATTGGTCAATACCAAATGAGTCATATTCGGTAGTAGTTTTTATTTTGATTACTTTTCACAATATGTTTAAATCACGAGTTTTACTTTTCACAATATGTTCAAATGAGTTTTTATTCGGTAGTAGTCAATTTTTGACACGTTAATATAACACCAATTGAACACAAAATTAATTGATCGGACAAGAAATTAAATGAATTAATAGATTAAAATGGATCAACACGTTTAAACACAAAAAAAAAAATTATATTGGGTTCATGTCAAAATCAGGTTAACCTGATTTTGATTTGATTAATTCGTATGATTTTGATTTGATTAATTCGTATATTTTAAACGAGTTGATATGCTTCAGACACGAACCTGACTTTACTCTTTGTAGACCTGTTTAACATGTTTATGACTGTCTAGTTTTCCTATTATGTATGACTGATATAGTCTTAATAATATTAATTATTAGTTCTTACTTCTACTAAAATAATTGACAGTATAGTTCTTAACATTATTATGACAATATACTAGTATAGTTCTTGTTTTAATTTTTGTTTTAAAACTTAAATACATTTTTGTTAAGTTCATTAAATACATTTTTGTTAAGTTCATTGATGAGATATCATATGTTATTGTAAAAAAATTAATTGAAATTTTGGATGAGTGATTGAATAATATATTTAATGGTAATGAACTGGTGTGGAAACATGTTATATGTGTTAAAACAAGTCTTTGTCATGTATGCTAAACATGTTAAACATATAATGTTATGTGTGTTAATCCGAAAACGACCTGTTTATTAATTTGTCAAACAGATCGGGCTCGAGTAATCATTTTAATGGTCAGGTTAGATTAGTGTTTACATATCTCGACACGATTATTAAACATGTTAGGTTTGAGTTTTGAGATTTTTGACACAAACTCAAAATCAACTCGATACAAAATGACCAAACTCGACATGTTTGATACCCTATAAAAAGTTACTGGTCAAATGTAAGGCCTCTCCCAATCATAATTTGTCACTGCGTCATCCCTAGTGATCGTTTTCTTTACTACTTAAAATTTTGATTTAATCTATGGGCTAATAATATAATTTTATTATATTCATTAAATTAACACTAAATTTTAATATTTAAATAGAACTCAATAGTTTTTTTTTTATTTTGGAAAGAGAGACATGAATTTTTAATTTTAAGAAGACAAAATCTTTATATAATAAATAGTATTATTAGACAAAAGACCCATTGATTGATGTGACTCCAATTCAAAGATTATAGTGAATTAAGTTACAATTTATGCCAATAAATTGAATTCAAGTGGCATTTCTCTTTCTTTACCTTGTTGGTTTGTCTTCTCCTAAAGGGTAGGGTTCTACTGCTTCTAACACTTTGGGGGTCCTTGGGGAACATTAAGGTCCAGCATTCACTTCAATTATCTTACTTGGGGTTGATTGACTTCGATGTTCACAAAGCAAGTCTCGAGTTGGCTCACCATGTAATAAAACTGTATTGTATCTTCCAATCATACGCTGAGTGGGTCAGGCGCTAATCTCACTCTCTGCCGATTTGTAATTTATACTTCTAAACACTAAAATTTTTAATTTGCATTTTTAATTTTTTGAATCGGTAACAATATAGACTTGATGTTCAATTTTTTATCATAAATTGAAAAAATTGAGGTGCAAGTACTTCGGATAATTACTTATGTTTAAATTCACAGACTTTTGACACCTCATGTAAGTTGCAGATGATGAGATTAGTCTTTATCTGATTGAAACTCTATTTTCAATATACAAAATGATGTCAAGTTGATCGCAGACGAGAATGAGGTATGTCCATTATTACAAATCTTTGTCAGTAATGAAATTAACACCATTTTGTATATCAAAAATAGGATTTCAATTAAATAAACGCTAATCTTATCATGTGCAATTCAAATGAATCGTCAACACTCAACAGTCGGTGAATATATACATAAGTCTATGCCCGAAGTACTTGCGAGCCATGTGCATTAATTTATGATGGAAATTTGAGCAAAAGAGTGGACCACGTCTATATTATTATCAATTCATAACATTGAGGGAGTAAATTAAAATTTTTAATATTTGAGGGTGAGAGTTGAGAATAGAAATATATTTGGAGTGTAAAGTAAAAATAGCCCATCCATAGTGATCTTACTGTACGCACGCATCGTTGAATTTTGTTTTCCTCCCTTTTTATTGGAATGTGAATGAGGAAGCTGGGCTGAAACTTCCGAATAGACAAGAAAGTTCTTCATCCTTGCTAGTTTCTCTTGTTCTGTTGGGGTGTCACTTTCCACTGAATTTCCTTCCCACTTCCTCTCTCTCCCTCTCCCCTTCTCTCTCCTTGGTTCCTTCCCATGCATATAAATGCATTTGCGAGTTCTGATTTTGTTGTAAGAAAACCTCCAGCTGACAACATTCAGCCAACGTTTTAACAGGTTAAGCTATTGGAAGAGGAAAGGGGGAAGAAGAGAAAAAGGGAAGCGTTGTACTGCTTCTGAGACTGTTCAGTTCACCATTTGGCTGCGGGAAGCGAGTTATTATCCGAAAAGGAGCAAGTAATTTTTGGTAATGCTTTTTATAAGTATTTTACCCAATTGATCTGAATACATTTTAGTGCATAAATTATAATTTTTTATATACTTGCATTATATATCACTACATGTGTGATTATAAATATAATAATATGGATGCTAAACTGTAATGACAATAATGTATATTCCTAAGCTGTTTTTGGAAATTGCTAACCAAATAGCGTTTCAAAAGTTTTTAACCCTTTAAATATTTTTTTGCCTTCAATTCTGTTTTAAGGCATATCCACAACCATTATTGAGTACTTCAATTCTCTTCTTGCATATCAACAACCATTAATGAGTACCAAAGCCACTTATAATGGGTTCATATTGAAAAATGGAGAGAAAAATGTATAAGAAGGGATCTCATTAATGGAATAAAAGGCCAACAAATTAAACCACTCATACTTGAAAAGTAGATTGTTCTAAATATTGTCCTTCCCTTATTGGAATAACTAATACTATTGAAATTAGGACATAATGAATTATGATCAATAAATTATAGTGAAATGTATCTATTGATGTGATTTATTGCAGCATTAAATATATTGCACTATTATTCTATTAGTCATAATGCATAATATATCTAAATTATGTCCCAATAATACTGTTTTATTGGAATAGTGAAATTTACTCGGAAAATTTGTTGTTTTGTTATTGAACTGTAACATTTGTGATAGTTATGATGTGATTTCAGTGTTACATTATCCAACTCTAAATGAAACCATTCTCATTTATATGCAATATAAAGTTACCAAACCTTCCGCTCTTCCTATTAATCTACTCCTTTTTGATGGGGTGGATTGATATGTTTTGAGGCTTAAAGCCATTCAATTAAACACCTTTTAAAAAAAAAATTAATAATAGTGTAAATTTTTTAATATTTAATATTTTTCCCAAATGCATATTAATTGTTTAATATTCGTATTGAAGTTTTTTTCAGTGCTATTAGAACTGGACCGGATATCAGACCGGTTCAATCGTGAACCGAGATCTTAACCGGTCCGGTTCCTTAAGTAAACTGCTTAAGGAAGTGAACCGCTTAAAAACCAAAAAATTGGCCGATTTTCAACAAAAATTGTGAACCGGCTGTTTTTTAGAAACCGGAAGGTTTAATGCCTATTTAAAAATTAAATTACATAAACTAATTAAATTTATATTATTTTTGGTATTTGAGACTTTTTTTTGCCCTAAATCTTTAAATCGCAGCACCACTTCCAGGCTCCAGCGACCAAGGCTCTTTGTCGTCTTCAATCAGGCTCAGCACCACCACCACCGTCTTCGACCAAGGACTCTTCGTCGTCTTCGATTGGACTCTTCGTCGTCTTCGACCAAGGACTCAGCACCACCACCGCCACAGTTCTAGTGATCAGGCTCCAGTTCAGGGATTTTCGACTGTAATCACTGATCAGCCATAGCAATCAACGACAAGGCGAGGCGACAGGCTCTAGCGACCAGGTGAACTCAGGCGACATCAAGCTATAAATTAAGGTAAAACTTCCTTTCAATAGTTCATATCTCAATAACTAAAACTGGTGGTTGATTTTGGATGTAAACAAAAATGGTTTGTGCATTTGTCAGACTTGATTTCATTGGTTTTGACTCGTGAATGGTGGTTGATTTCATTGAATGGTGGTTGATTTCAATAAACAGGTTATAGTATTCAACTCAATAAACATATTTTATATTTTATAGCCAAATTATTATATATATTTTTTATTTTTTATATTATATGGCCGGTTCGATCAGTGACCCACCGGTTAAATCAGTGAACTATTGACTCAGTCCCTTAGTCGGTTCGATGATCGGTCCGGTTTTGATAACATTGGTTTTTCTAGCATATCTTTTTTTTATTGATAATATAACTAATTAACTTAATTTTTAAATTAAATAAAAAATTCTAAAACTTTCAAATTCAAAGATCATTTGACAGATTATGTTGTCTCATCATTAACACTCTTATAAACTTATTTTTTAAATATATGTTTGATTAAGTTTTTTAAGATTATGATAAAAATGACAATATTGCATGAACCTTATTTAGTGAACTTATTTGACTATCTTATCATTTTTTGTTATTAGATTGATAGTAGATCCTACAAAATTGGGACCCATTATCAATTCCACACCTATGATCTTTCATGTCATCAGATAAGATCATTAAATTAGGTACAAAATATTTTTTCTTTTTTATTTTTTTCTTGTAAAATGTTATTGTGTGAGATTAATTAGCGAATAGTTTTTTTGTTGATTTATGCCTTCATATGGAGATTTCTTATAAGACTAATTTTAATAGATTAAAATTGACTTGTGCTATAAATTTTTTAAATTTTGGGACCCTCTTTATTAATGGGCGTAAAGCCACCGCTTCTTTTCCTCCTCTGTTGGGGTGGCCTTGCCTTTCGATCTTCTTTTTCTTGCCCAAATAGTGGTCTGATGCACAAGAGTTCAAGCAAAAGTGGTGTGATCGGTACCCCAAATGCCGTAACGGTGATTTATCGGCTGTTGGGACTCCGAATGGTATGGAGTGTAACGCCGGTTACTGCCCTTTATGCTGCTGTAACGGCGTTACGGGTTTAAAAAAAAAAAAAAGCTCACAATTGATTTCTGCGGCTGGGACGATGATAAGCTTGAAAAATCTATTAGTGCAGGACTGATGATAATCTCCATTTTTCCAATTTTTCACCCCATAGTTTTCCGATATATACATCAAAACAGAACATCATATTCATTGGACTCATGGCAAAAATTGAGGTTTAATAGTATATCATCTTCGCTTTTCTTTAGCTTCTTGTCTGAGTTTCTCAAATGTATTTGACTCAGAACATGTCAACGTATGGAAGCTATTCACCTCCACCGAGCCCGAGCACTGGAGCAAAAGCAGCCGGTGAGTTCTTACATTGAGAAAGAACAATTCTGAAGGAAAGAAAAAAAATTGATATATTTGACAACCCATTAATGCAAGGGTAGAACTAATATATACGTAACCGACAATAACTTTTTCGATATCATATATATATATACTAGCAAGAAAAATAGAATATCGAAAAACGAACATAGATTTTGGTTGGTATCATGTTCAGTCTAAATTAAAACAATATGATAAAGAGCCTTTACAAGTGTTGTTGCTTTTCTGTCACAAATTTAAGTTCTTTCAACTTGCAGCTGTGATTGTGAGCTTGGTGATACTGGCAATAATTGCCATCATATCTTGCTATTGCGCCAAAAAAAAAAGAAAAGCAATAATATCATATATGCAAACAGCAGTTGGTCAAGCCATAATAGTTGCTCCACCAGCCTTAAATGTGGTGAAAGTTTGGGAGGTTGATGCACCAACAATGGAGAAGTTCCTCCAAGAACTGGCAAGAGAAAAGCCAGTAAGATTTACAGCTCAACAACTATGTTCTTTCACGAGTAATTACTCTACAAGATTAGGTTCTGGAGGCTTTGGGGATGTGTATAAAGGGCAGTTCCCAAATGGAGTACAAATTGCAGTAAAAGTGACTAAAAGAAGCTTAGATAGAGGTGCTGAAGGGCAGTTCATGGCCGAAGTTGGTACTATTGGAAGAACTTACCATAAAAATCTTGTCAGATTATATGGTTTTTCCTGTGATCACTTGATGAGTGCACTTGTCTACGAGTACATGGAAAATGGATCACTCGATAAGTACTTATTCAGTGAAGATTCACAACAAACCGAATGGGAGAAGCTGCATGAAATTGCAGTTGGGACAGCTAAAGGCCTTGCTTATTTGCATGAGGAGTGTCAGCAAAGAATCATTCACTATGACATTAAGCCCGGCAATGTTCTCCTGGATGCTGATTTTTGTCCCAGGCTTGCTGATTTCGGGCTGGCGAAGCTTTGTAATAGAGACAACACCCATGAAAGTGTTACCGGATATAGGGGGACTCCCGGTTACTCGGCTCCAGAATTTATGTTGAAGAATTTTCCGATAACAAATAAATGCGACGTTTACAGCTTTGGTATGCTACTGTTTGAGATAGTTGGGCGGCGGAGAAATGCCCGTGTTCGATCCACAGAGAGTCTGGATTGGTTTCCAAAACAAGTTTGGGACGAGTATGAGAAGGGTGAGTTGGCGGCGATGACAGTGTCGTGTGGGATTGAAGACAAGGATAGGGCAAGAGCAGAGAGGATGTCTTTGGTGGCATTGTGGTGCGTTCAAGACTCACCAGAGACTCGCCCACCGATGAGTGCGGTGGTGAAGATGTTGGAGGGAGGAGTGGACGTTAATCCACCTCCCAAACCATTCCGCTATTTGTTTTCAGTTGGAGTGGAGGTACTAAATCCACCCAATAACACCAATACCAGTTCAGATTATTCAACAAGCGAAGGAAATAATTCTTATTGGTACAAGGAATCCACTCCAATTATGACCAAGTACGAGATATAAATTGCCAGTTCATAAAGAGGGAAGTGGATTGTACCAAAGTACTTAAGGCTTGGAATGTTTTGTTTCTCATTTTCTTCTTTTCTCTTACACCTATGGATTTACTTTCTGGAAAAATCAAGGTACCTAGGGACTCGATCAAGTTGGGGCTTTGAAGAGTTATTTGTGTATCTTATTTCTATGCTTGTACATATACAAACCTGAAATGTATATTTATATGTAGAAGAACAATCAATTTTATTCGGAAAGGGCTTGAAAAGCAGTTTATCTCCTTTTTTAATTTCTTAAAAGTTTGAATTATTTTAAATTATTTTCTCTAATCACATTCTATCTCTCCACTTTCAATGAACTAACCACCGTGACGTAAATTTATTTAACAAAGGAGTTTATATCACGATACAAACTCGGCATAATCTCCCATATCTAATTACCCAATTGGTGGGATGTAAGAAGGGGAAATGGAAGAGGAGATGATGTGATTATAAATCCATGTATCATGTGAATTTGCCATTAGTCAGTTCTCATTCTATTTCATGACTTAAGCTTTAAAACTGGTCGAGTACCATTGAAAGTTATCTATTCAACTCTCTGTTTTATCAAACCTAAAATTTAGAATTGTAACATTAAACTCGGGCAGATTTTTAAGGATAATACTCATGGACCTATGCTTCTTTGTTGTTCATGTAATTACATGTAATTTTATGAAATGCTTACTTTGCTAAATCACCTCTATTTGATCCCTTAAAGTCTTCAAAATCTTGACATAGCTTTGTTGCCAATATCTTTTTCCTTAGAGCAAGTGGATTTCCTGACAAATTAGGTTCATCCGTGTCCACTTCAATTACAGTCACTTCAACTTGGTTCATACATTTTCTAGACCACCAAATTAAAACAAGAAATGCTATTTGGAACTTATTTAGGGACTTAATGATATACAACCATTGGATTAGTTTTGAGCTCCATCTAACATTGAAACTCACAACTAATCCAATGCATTGAACCTACATCATTAAGTCACTAAATAAGGTCACCAAATAAGGTCCTTATATCATTGCTCAATTAATACAACACGTAAGAATTTTTTTTTGAAAGACCTCTTTAGACAATCTCTAATGAAAATCCAAATTCTAACACAAATTTGAGTTAAAAAAAAAGATAAAAAGTTAATTTGATTTAGTATCGACCTCTGGAGAAACTTAAATTTAATGGAATAGAAACCCAAATTTAAATAAGTATACATCCAAATTTAAAAGAGGATAAAATATGACTATTGAATTTTTAAATATGGTCAAAACTCACTGTTAACGATTTGTGTATGAATTTTAGTTTCCCTTGATTTGAGTAAAAAATGAATCTCCTTATGGGTATTGGTCTAATATTGGAGAAGGTTTTTAGAAAATTTTAAACCCAAATTTAAATGGGAGATTTGGTGAGAGGTATAAATTTGGAAACCTTTTTGGTTTGTAGGTTTACCCTTAACAGTTTGAAGCCCAAAAGTCCATAAAATCAACTCTTGACAAAAATACCCTTAATGAAGGAGGTTATTTAAAAATCTCTACTATTATCTCATTCTTATATTTATTACCACTATCCTTATCACCCCACTGTCGTCACTACCATTTGACGCCTCCCACCACTACCACCACCATCACAACCATTGTCGTCCACCACCCACCACCCATCGTCGCCATCACCACCGCCCGCCACCCGCCACCACCATTACAAATTACAACCACCCGTCGCCACAATCACTGACCACCGACCACCAATGCCACCATGACCCACCGCCACCCACAATCATTGTCACTATTTCTAGTAGCCACCCACCACCATTTGTCGTCACCACCACCACCACCACCACCACAACCACCCACTATCATCACCAAACACCAAACCACCACCATCAGCATCGTCGTCACCACTAGCGCCCAACACCCACCATCCACTAGCACCACGACCCAATAACACCATAACCGCCACCATTATCCCATCACCACCCACCCACCAACCACCACCCACCGTAACCACCACCAACCATTGACCACTCACCATTTGTGCCACCATTACCCATTGCTACCACTACCATTATTACTAGCCATCACCGACCATCACCACGCACTACCACCACCCATGGTTAGATGCTCATTTTCTTGTTGTCTCTCCGCCAAAAGAGCCTCATTCGACATCTAGTGTAGCTTCACTTGGATTTCCTCGCAACACAGTTTATCTAGGCCTTGAGCAATCATGGGCACACCAATGATCCCCAGTATGCACACACCAATGGGTTTATCAAACCAATAAGATCTTCTTCTCCAAGTTGTGAGGATGGGTAGAATCTCTAGTGGTAACCTTTAGTTTTAGGGATGTAGGTTATAGTGGACGCTCTCAAGGTAGAAAAATGATTTTCTCTCTTAGTAATCTCACAAGAGGCTTAACCTAGCTGTGGGAAAGGCTCTCCCTATTTATAGTTCCAAAATAAGGGTAGTCTTAGTAAATAAGAAAACTCAGATTTGCAAATAACTTGTGACGCCTTAATTTATCCCGATTAATCCGTTGATCACCCATCAACCTGCGGAATAACCCGTGATATGGCTTAACTCGATAACACGTAGTGACACCCCATTCTCTGAAGTCTATAACTTTAACAAAATTCGGGCGAAGTCTCCTTTGGACGGGAAGCTCTACCCAACACACACAACCTGTGCAATTTCTAACCATTGACCACATCGGTTCCCAATCATTACTATTCAATCATATAGCATTGAATACCAACACATAACCATCATCTATGAATACATTCATTCATGAAAGCATAAACGTCCAAAAAAGTCTCATATACATGTCTTAATTCAGTTACGACTTTTGTTTAAGAAATTTATACAAGACCAATGTAAATGGGAATGAAATCTACAACATAAAAAATAAGAGCCATAGTCCAACTCTGTCATCAGAGCGAGCCCAAGTTAGGGCCTCATACGGATTTCTATTCGGTACTTGAAGTATATTTCGATAAACGGTTAGCACCGCTCAATATGGTATATTCTATGGAGATGGCCTCCTAGTCCAAATGCATATGAAATGTCACATAAAAATCATCATGTTAAGTATCCATTCAAATACATAAATTTCATAAATGAATGCCACAATTTCATGCATTGCTATGAGATAAGAACTCACGCATGCAATACAACACTGGGTCTCACCGGCTCCCATAACTCATGTTATGTCATGCGTATGAATCCAAGAATTCTAAGCCCCAGCCATAGATGATATGACAATTTTATAAAAATTTGCGTCTTTTTGGGTAGGTATTTATGGACTTCTACAAACGGTCACTCATCAAACACAGAATTTATGGACTTTCACCAATGGTTCTGTGTACACCGACACACTTTATGGTCTCAATACTAATGGTAGTGCGCATCCAAAGTTACCGTGTTTTACACCTGAGAAAGAATCAAGCCATTCTTGCTAACCCCGATATGTTTTTCAATGAAAACCCGTGTGACTCAACCGAACCTATGTCCAACTTTCTTGAGCCCACGTATTCACCCACCAAGAATGGGGTTTGATTAGAAACATGCACACACACTCACACTCATGTCAGATGCTCACGAATGCGATGCCACCCTGTGCATATGCAAATGTAATGTATAATTACAATTCATATCACCATGCTCTTCATATCATAAATCATATAATAAACGTGTCTAAAACCACAATTATTCCCAAGCACGTCATACATGATTTCAATCCAATAAACACACTTGGACCCTAAGCATTTTAACAAAACACTTAGTAGGTATAAAATGTAAATACATAGCATACCCAAACAAGCTATTTCATCAAACCCAAACATCTTACTACCGGTAGGTTGTGCCTCTCTTATTGGTAGATTCATATTTTTAAAATCAAACCCAAATCAAGGAACAAATAATTTTAACTTGTTCTCATACTCATTTTTCATACCCTAGATACACTAGGGGTGAGCTAACATTTGAGATTTAATCTCTATATCCCTACCCATTTCATATCGCCACTCTAGGTTGAAAATAAATTTAGATAGTTTACAACCTTATCTCTCGTAGTGTGAGCCCACGTAGTAGAACTCCCAAGGACCCAAAAATCTAGCTTCCCAAGCCTTAGCTCCCATTCCTCATTTTAGACTTTTGGAGAATGGTGTAGTCTTTGGTATAGCCGTGTAGTCCACGTCGCATAGAGCAACTTTAACTCTTGGCTCCAAGTGATCCAAAAGTTGGATCTTCGTGGATCTAAGGAAAAATATGAAAGAAGGTGTAAAAGAAGACTCTCTCTCTCTCGCGGCTGATTTGTGTGGAGGAAGAGATTGGAAGACTACATTTTCCCTTTTAAGTCCTTATTTATACTTGGCTCATATTGAGCTACACGTCTCATTTTAACGGGTCTAATTTTATCTCGAACCAATTAAATCTCATCTTATATTAAGTTTAGTATATTTTTAATCAACTAACTTTAAATTATTTCTAGGGTCCCATAAATAAAATCTGATCATGATTATTTTAGTCGCCCGATACTCAATTTTTGCGTAACACAAGAAAAATCCGGTTATCTCAGAATTCAATAAAAAATTTACCAGATAACTAGATTTTACGAGACGAATCCAACGATAAAGACTATTTTATCATCTTAGTTATTTAAAAAATTACTTTTTTAACCCATGCTTAATGACTTAATTATCATTTTATCCTTTTTAATTAAGTTTTAATTTTTCCAAATTTTACAATCTCCCAAGGGAATTTAATCCCCGAAATTTCACACACCTATACATATAATACACTATGACTACAAGAAATGTACCTCCATCCTCAAATAGTGTCCTCGCGTTCCCATGTCACTTTCTCCATACCATAATGCTACCACAGCACTTTCATTAACCTCACATTTTTGCCACGCAAAACCTGATTTCAGTTATCCATGATGCGCACTAGTGCCTCTTCAAATGTCCCATATGTATCAACAACCAG